ATGTATCAAGTACACAATAGACTTGTTATATGATAACTACTACCCATACAATTCTGTAATCAGATGTGTCTATTCAAATACAATGTGAAAAATGCAAACTCTGAAGCAAGCTGCTCTGCTCAGTTATCATTTGGGATTAGGAGTACACCTTTCTTCTTCCTACATTTGGTTTTACAAGGGAACATAAGATATGCACATTTAAATTGAGAGATGGCTTTGAGTTCTGGACTTTGTTTCCAGACTATTTCAGAAAGAACTCATGCATTGGTTTTCCCTAGCAAGGGTCCAATTTATGCTGCAGAAGAGACTCGTATGCTAATCAACCCGTATTGACAAGTGTGATAGATGCGGCGAGGTACTTAGTGAGTTCTGGAGAGCAAAGTTGATTGCATTTTACAGTCTGTGTATTTCTCTGTTTATTGCTTGTATTCTGTCATTAAGCAAACAGGTTCCTAATATAGCAAATCTCTCTAATCAGTAAAGCAAGGGAGAAAAGAACCAGAGCATCATTAATTATGACTATTTGGCTACAGCCTGGACAGTCTGTTGCTATTGGATTGGGCAGCTTCCTCTGGTTTTATTTTCTGGAGGTAGAGCAAAAAAAAAAAATGGCTTTTCTTCTGCATGGAGGGGAGAGAGAGAGAGAAATGTTCCATGCCCTGCTGGCTGACAGCTGCCTAAAAACCCCAGATTAAACACTGGCTTCTCTACAGAAATGGAGTCCTGGGGCAGCGAAGGCCAGGCTTCGAGCGGGTGTGCTTTTAAGTCTCCAGTTCCATAAACAGAGCAAGCACGCTGCTCACAAGTCTGACCTGTCCCCAAGGCTCTGCAGAACCTACTATGGGCAGAACCATGTGGGTACCTGACTCTGAGCTATAAATTATGGGTGTGCCTGTATGTTCTGCACGGAATGTCGTTGGCACCAAGGCTGGCTTTCCAAATGCTAATCACTGGGTAAAAGCAGGAGAGACCCCACTCTGACTCCAGGTAACAGAGGTTAACAGCATCTAATGCATTTATTAACCCTCTGGTGCCAGGGACTGGCGAGGTCTGGCCTCGCAATTACAGTGCCCTGGAAATTCTATTATGCAACGTGCCTGGACTTGCGTATTACTGCCAGTGACAATTTTATAACAGGAAAGCAGTAGATACTGGAGGGGACAAGCCTTCTGAAGAGCCTAAAGAACAAGTTTCCTTCTTTTTCTAGAATGTGGTGAAGGTTACTGTATTCACGTTTGCATTTTTCCATTCTAAAGATACAAACCTCAAGGTACTAGGTCTTGGTGGTGATGTTTCCACAATGCAGAGTCAGGCGGCTTCCCCAAACCACATCACTAGGAATCAGCTGCTAGGAAACACTCTTCATACTGTAATGTTGGTTCAGGTGGACTGTTGGAAATACGTTCTCTCTCCTCTTTCTTTTTTGTTTTTGCAAGACATTTTTTTTGTGTGTGTGTGGTGCTGGGGATCAAGGCAAGCACTCTACCAACTGAGCTATATCCCCAGCCCAACACATATCCTATTTTAAGACCATAAACTTTAAGGTTCAGTATCCAGATAGGTACAGATTGGCTAAGCTGTGAGTTGAGTTCCTGAATATCCTAGAATTAGCAGGGTTGCAGAGCTCACAGAAAAAAAACGTGTGCTCTGTGCAGGACATACATTATTATATCCTTGGTTTTACCAATTTATAATACAGGGATAAAAATGTATTCTTTCAGTTTCTAACTTACCTTACTTCTTACAAAGTCTGAGATTTCTTTTTTCCTTTTAATTTTCCTGGGACTATCCCAAGTGTCAGTAAATGGGACAACATTTAAACTATGTATGTACTCTTTGCAAGAGTTGAAGAAAGAGGACATCCTATAATTTTGTCTGCTTGCATTTATCAGATCTGACTAGCAAGACAGTGATTATTTGGTGATGTTTTCACAAATACTCAATAAATGCCTTTAAAATGTAGAAATAACAGGTTTCTTGAGCTTCTAAAGTGGGCTTTAAGTCTCTGATTTTCTTAAGTAGATTCTGGATCTGCAGTTGAAGGTTTCTGACTCCCAGAGAGAGTGAACAAGAGTGAACAAGATGCCTAAGCACTGACCAGCCAGATGCACACAGCTCTGAAGGCCGGGCTCTGCCCCTCTGCCTGCATCTCACATGCTGTTAGGGGCACTGCACAACTTTCTCTCTGTAGTTCTTGCCCCCCAGGCTAGGCAGCAGATCCTCTCTAGGCTGCATCTCATTTGGTGAGGCATTTAAAAGGACCTCACAGCTATGTGCAACCTTGGATCTTGTCACTTATGTGCCATCTCCATTCCAATAGCTGGTAACTTTTGCCCTTCACCTATTAGATGCACAGACCTTATGGTGGCCCCTCTGGGTTTAGGTGGACCTCAGGACATCTCTGCTGTGCCCTACTCTGCCTCTGCAGTCGTGGTGGTTTCCCAGAGAACTGGGACCTCTCAGCAGGAAGCCTGTTCACATCTGTGGAGGCTTAGTGGTTAGAGCTCTGCATGCTGTGGACTGGGCGGGTGTGACAAGGGGTGGGCCTGCTCTCAGAAGCAGTAGGTAAGGGCCTGGTGCAGTCTAACTGGAACTCAGCAGTTCGTGCAGTTACGCGAGTCAGGGTGGTCCTCCAGGACAGAGGAGTGGGGGCCTCATGCCTGCAGTTTTAGTCAGGCCGGTGGCGCTGCAGGGAGACGCAGCCAGATGCTGACCCTTAGAAGTCAGTAGGATGGCTGCTCGGGGGCAACAGGAGCCCAGAGACTTCACACACGTTGAGCCTGTCTAAGCTCATGTCCTGTGATTGAACACTTCACACAGCCATTCCTGGAGGGAGGAGAAAGCTGGCAGTGTAGACCTGGGCATGTGGACCTGGCAAAGGCTCCTAAGTGCTGCGCACAGTAAGAAGCCTCCAGTGACTGATGAGGGCCCGAGATCTACCTGCACAGGCCAAGCCACTTAGTGATGTCTGTGAAGATGGAGGCGTTTTCTGGCCCCTGCTGGAAGCCCTTCACAGTCATTCCATCATGGCGATATTCCACTAGTGCTACCTCAGATTCCTGAAGTGACAGAGAAATACAGCTGGGGAGTGTCACCATGAGCAAAGCACTGCCCACAAGAGCTAATCCTATGGAATGGAGGACACCTGCCCCGTCCTGGTGCTGTCAGAGGCCACTGTGACCCAGGACACTAAAAAGCAGCTTAGCTGTGACCACTGCACAGGCTGGCTTCTCTGCGCAATTTAGTGAATGCATTAGTTATGCAGAGGCCCTTAGCAAGGGTTTTTGTCTTTTGTAGATTATGGCCTAGAAAAGAAAAGGCAGAATGGGATGTTTTAGGGTCATTTTGGTGTCTGGGCACAGTTCCAATCTTGGATGGAAATAACTTAAGTTCTACACATTATTCTCTGTTGGTAACAATGCAATGGACCAGATTTGCTATTAATATAGATTAAAAGTAGGCTTTTGAGTGAGGTTCAATTCCTCTTTCAATTTCCCCTCTGATCTCCTTATACATAACATTTAGTGACCTTTGAACAGCCCAGGGATGCTTCACAGTGTCTTATTCTCGAAGCCTGTTTAAAGGTTCCTATTTCACATTCACAGCTGGCATATGCAAATATAGGTAAAGATTATGATGCTTTCCAAGGAGCATTATGGTCAGTAAATTACTCGTTGGGCCAACATGCTGTACTTTCAGCCCAGCGTGTCTTCGGTGAGTTGTAGAAGTTTTGCAGCATGCAGGCAGCGAGCCCCACACTCAGCCAGTCACTCAGGTGCGCCTTGACTCGTGGGATGCTTTACATGGTCTTATCTTACCAACAAATGAGCTTTCTGTCTTTTGGAGCCAAAGGGCTGCTATTGCTGTGGATGAGGATGGCGGATCAGGGGAGGAGTTCTTTGGGTGGATTTAGAGACTGGGGGAAACACTGTTCATGCAGGAGAGAATGTTTGTTCATACAAGAGCTGACGAGATTGGATGCATCCTGACTTTACAAGCAAATTGCTGCCTGACCTTCGAAAAGTCACTTAACTTCTTTGGACTCTCATTGTTTTATTTTGTAAAACGAGAGAGCTGTATTGGGTCAGTGATTCTCACAAGTGTGTTACTCTGATTGTTTGAATGATGAAACTGTTCCTCCCACTGAATTCTTAGGCAAAAGCCCAGTGGAGTTGGTCCAGTTGAGGGAAAACAGGGAGCTTAAAGTCCTTGCAGCTAAGCCCCCTGGCAACTTCCCAGAAAGCAGTTTTAAAATTGCTGGATCAGGATCTGCACTGCCCTGCTTGGTTTCTCAGAGGTGGCCATCTGTCCGATGCCTGATCCCAGAACCAGGTAGAGGTGTTCTTACTGGTGCTTTCTGTTCACCACCCTGTGAACTTTAGAAGTCTGGAAAATGGTAGGAGCCTGGTAGTGTTTGTTGACTGGAATAATGAACAAACAAGCAAACAAACAAACTGGCTTTTGGAAGCCCCTGTGTGTTTACTAATAAGTGGGGATTTCTATTGGCAACATTCTCAAGTAGAAGGAGGCACTCCCCAGAATGAACATTCAGAAATACAAATAACTGGCTACTTCCTGGTTTTTCTTTTAGAAGCTCAGTCCTGCCTGGACTGTCCCTGGATGTACTAGTGACAAGTAGCAGTTGAGCTTTTGAAATGAGGCAGGTCTGAGCCGAGACGTGCCATGTCAGACACCACCAGATTTTGAAAACTCAAGTGTGGGAAAAAAAGAATGTAAAGCATCTCATTAATTTTTTATATTGATTACAAGTTGAAATGGTAATATAGTGGGTTAAACAAAATATATTATTAAAATTAACTTCACCTGTTATCTCTTTATTAGGTGGCTACTAACATATTGTAAATTATGGATGTGTCTCACAGTTGTGACTCATGTATTTATTGGGCAGTGCTGCCCTGGACTATTGATTAATGGATCATCAGTAATTACTCTTCCTTATTATGTTTGAGATTTCCCCCTCTCTCCTTGTCTTTCTCCAGGCACAGAAGCTGAAATCCAATGTTTCGGGAAGTACACATCTCTGTCTTTCTGATGTAAGTCACGTTTCTTTTGGGGTCTTCTTGCATTTATAGGCATAGCCTTTGGGCTCCAGGGCACGAGATGATACATGAGGCTCTGAGGCAATAAGGTTTCAGGTCCAGGAAAAAAATGAAGCCACCCTCTGTCCATTTGCCTTCTGAGAAAGGTGCAGACTTTGGATTCAGTGCACAAAGTTAGAACAAAGTGTAGGACCCCGGATCTTCATCTGAGATCCATCCCCAGCACTGAAACCACTGTTCTGATGCTATGAGACTCTCTGAGAACAAGTCATATAAAGTCATCCAGCACGGAGAAGATGCATGGGGCTCTTGGTGTATCCTGGATGGCCTCTACCTGCAGTTCTTCTGACCTTCACAAGGACACAGAGGTAGAGAGGGCAGGTCCCATTACTCTCCCCAGTTCACTGGTGAGGAGAGGGATAATTGAAGTGTGCTGATCCTAATTCTTGTCCACCGTGGGATGTGGTGTGATGGATGTAGCAGTGTGGCTGTGGGATGGAGGAGTCCATCCTGGGAAAGGACAATTGTGTTGACGAGTCCTGAAGCCTGGGGTGTGGGCTGGGTGACGAGGAGTTGGACAAGCTCCTTGCCCTCTCTGACTGTTCCACTGTAAAACCTAGAGTGGGTCTGGCCAGTGGAGGGGAAAGCCCCTGCCTGCTCTGTCTGCCCCCATGCTGGTTGTGGCCCATCTCTGTGGGAACTGGGCCTTGACTGGGAAGCTTTCCAAGATGGTTCCTTCCTGCCCTCCTTCTGTGGTGGGAGAGAAGCCAGCATCCCTCCTCACCAGAGCTGCCTGGAGGAAGCATTGCACGTCACACAGCTTCTAGGTCACCTGTGGAAGAGGTGGGGAGGTGGCAGAGATGCCCAAGCTCAAATGTTTTCCCCCAGAATGGACCTTAATGATTCAGTGTGAAGGAGGAAGCAATAGCATCTGCTAGAGTTTGTCAAAAGTATCTGGGTCTCACTCAAGTTCATGATTCCTTCTCATGAAACGAACAGGTCAGCAGAATGAAATCTCAGCGGTAAAATCTTGGGTCAGCTTTGGTGAGTGGGTCAACCAGGAGGAGCAGGGAGCAGGGAAGAGCAAGAGTGTGGTTTATCTGTGATGAAATGGATATGTACCACGGATGACGATGAAAACATTCTCTCTTACAGCGGGATTACGAAAAGGACGGTCTGGCTGGTCCTTCCAGCCACATAACCACAAAATCAATGGCGGCACCTCCACGCTGCGGTCTGAGCCCACTGCTGGTTCCGGTGGTAACTGCTCTGTCCACCCTATTATCTTTATCTTTGGCAGGAACATCGTAGCTGCATTTAAAAAACCATACGGACATGTAAAAAGACAAAAACCAAGTTATCTGTTTCCTGTCCTCTTGTATATCTGAAAATCCAGTTTTAGGAGCTCAGTTGAGAAACAGGTTCATCCAACTGGAACTTTTTTTTTTCTTTTTTTAAAGAAAGCTTTTTGTGATCCTTAGGGGCTTCTCTGGACAGTCTGATGCAGTCCTGCATCCCACACTCAAAGGCTTTGGGGCATGCTGTACTTAAAGGGGACAATTTGTAAATTTGGCTGTAAAGCCAACTGGGGCCATGTTTTGATGATGATGGTGGTGGTGGTTTTAAAAGTTTTCACTCTGGCATTTGCTAGCTAGAGAGGAAGTTGGTCTTTCTAAGGATTCTCTCACATCTCATGTAATGGCTTTGATTTCTAATGACAAATGGCAACCTAACATGGATGACAAGCTTTTTTTTTTTTTTCTGTCACAAAGTGAAGGTCATCATCCAGAGTGGGCTTTGTGGAAACAAGCTTGTACCGATGTTCACCTTTCTGTATGTACTGGCATTTTCCACACTAATGTTTATGTGCATAATCAGTTCTATGCTCTCCTATGAAACAAAACACCTATTACATCCAAATGTAGTATCTGTCTTTTAGTCAAGATGGGGGGGGGAGTGAATGTGAAATTTCACGGTTCCTTGGTCATTGATTGACACTCTCCTAAGCCTTACCTGAGTGAGAAGCCCTTAAACTAACAAGAGTCAATATAGCTGATGGTCACTCTAATATTCTTTACATTTATGAGGTTATATGTAGAAAAAAAATTTTACTACTCAATGATTTCAACTATGGGCTTTCTATATTTTGAGAGTAATGATATTATCTTCATTTTTTTACTGATGGTTTAATATAAAATACGTGGAGCTTGCTTTCCTCTCCTGAGTGGTGTAGCTCCGATATTAACTTCACAAATACAGCTCTTCAAAAGCAGACCCTGAGGAGCTCCTGCTTTAGCAGAATGCTTAGCATCGTGTGACTGCGGGCGCACAGGAGGACTCAGAGCAGCCAGGCATTGTCTTTTATCCTGTGTTGAAATGCAGGTGTGCACACAGGCGAGGAAACCGGTGGCCACTCGTAAGTGTTCTGCACTGTCTCATGGCACCATTGCCAGTTGACACAACTGGATGCCTTGGTTTCCAGAGTATTGGACAAAAGTGGCTTTGACTGGGACAGGGGACAGGATGTGCTGCCCTGTCTTTCAATGCTGATCCATGCCGGGGTATGCAGTTGTTTTCCTAAGTCTTTACTCCCAGCTGCCTCAGCCCCTGTTTAGAAAGGGGTTAGTTGGGAGTTCATCCAGAATCTGCTTGTGTCTTGTTCTACGTCCCCCACGACAGACTGTGGCTGACTGTGCGAAAGCACCAAGGTCTGTGGATGGAGAGAGGGTCAGTGTCAGATGCCCTGACGAGGCGCATTGGTTGGCAGAGACAGGCAGAACAGGGCAGGACTCTCATGAAAAGTCTCCTGGCTCTGTTAGCTACAGTAGTTCCCATCCTTAACCGAAGAGACCCTAAAGTGCGCTTTTGAAGCCTGGTTTATACAGTGAGATTCAGAATGTGCAGTGATCAAGGACCTGTGGCTGTGTCTCCCTCCACAGGGTGCTGGGGAGCACGAACTTTCTTCCCACGCTGGGAGAGGGCCAGAGGAGAAAACCCAAGGTGTACGTCTCATATTGATCCCCTGTGCCTGCTGAGGTTTGCCTAGAAAGATTTATCAGATGACTGGGGGTGGGGGAGAGGAGGAAATCTACGAAATCCCAGAGAAAGGCCTAGTCTTTTAGCTCTTTCAGTGTTTGAAGTAAATTTATATCCAAATGTTAATAAACACAAATGTATAATGCTCACTACCAAGATTTTTCACTTCAAAATGTTTTCAAGGGAAATGCATCAAACACCCAACTGTATTTGATCAGTAAAAAGTTCCATAAAGACTCTTACTTTGAATAAACACTTTAAATGTGTCAAAACATTTGGAATGCCAGTCATCTATGAGAACATATCTCTTACAGAACATATTTTGTTTTGATTAAGGTATCTCTGTGTATCTACACTGGACTGGTGGCATATGGGTCTGATTCTATGTGATCCACTGTAGAAAGCTATTGATTCCTTCTGCTGCATGCAGAAGTAATTAGCTTCAGATGACCAAAGAGGAAATGGGCGTTCTCTGTGCTAACAAGGGCAGCCTTCATTGAAGACTGCCTAGACATTAACACATAAATTAAATTTTGAAAAGCTCTATCACTAACGAAGATCCCATTTATTTTTTCAGAGATAAAAGCATATTAGAGTTACCAAATCCTCCATTTGAAAATAAGTTACTGATTAAATAAACAGGGGGCAGGATCTTGCTAGGGAAGTATTCAATGAAGGAGATTCTTACACAATCAAAGCAAGCAAGCAGTCCTGTCCTGCAGTGTGATTCCAACTTAACACGGTGACCATCATTTACCCAGGACCGAAGCAGGCAAATGATTTAAATCTTTTACCTGTGTGACTTCCCCTTGGGGTGTGTACAAGCAAAAGGGATTCCTACTTTTGGTTCTACAGTCCCCGCAATGGGGACATCACAAACATAGGGGCTGTCTGCTGAGGTCGGGTCTCTTGCTGAAAGCATCTCCTGGTTGATATTGATGATGCAAGAACAGAAACTTGAGTCCATGCAGACGGTGACTCTCAGATCAAGTCTAGCCATGCCCTACTTATTTGAGAGAGAGGGAAAAAGGGCAATATTGCCATTTTGATTAGAAGCACATCCATTCCACTTTGATGTTGAATATCTTTGGTTAATATATGATTGAGTATCTTTTTAACAGAGCACATGGAAGAAGAAGTGCACAATATAGAGAGGAAATTCAGAATGCCAATTGAATATTTATTTTTCCATATATGATTGTTTTCAAGTCTCTAATAGAAAAAAATAGATGTTGAGAATTACCTAGGTTGTTTTTCATTAAGTGTAATAAATTGTATCCAGATTATGATGAGAGGGTGGTTTCTGGTTTTTTTGTTTGTTTGTTTCTGGTTTTGTTGTTGTTGTTGTTGTTGTTTTTCTTAAATGATTGTCTATCTTGTATCAAAAACATATCTTAGAAGTTGTGACTTCAGGTTCACCCAGTACAGAACAGGGCTTCTCCGGAGCTGCCCTGGCCTTGGATTTGGTCTCCACTGGGACTGCTGCTGTCCTGCCTGCACTCTGAGGTTGGGGGGCTCCCAGCTGCACCCATTTCCCTCAGGCCTCCTTGTCTCTAAATCAGCCACTCCAGAAACGCTCCATCTGCCCAACTAGGAGAGTGGGAGAGCGGAAGCATTTCTGAGTCAGTGTCAAGTAGTGGAGAGAAAAGATGTAAGAGCCGTGGGAGTTTATATAATTAGCAAATTCTTTTCTTAGAATCCAGCATAAATGTATTTCAATTATTATTTACAAAATAGTGTCCTCGGAGGAGCTGTCTTTTGGAAAGTAAGTTTTCATTCTTGTAGTTAGACTTGCCCGATTTATTTGAGTCAATAAGCTGTGGACCAGAAGAGGGGCTATGTAAATGAGCTCGCATTTTCTAATTCTCTCCTGACGCTGTTCTTGACCTCCTGGACTCAAGACTCCCGTGAGCTCTGTTGCTTTGGCTTCTGCTCTTCTGCTGGAGCAAATGAGACCATGGGAGACCCATCTTTTCAAGAAAGACCTGCAAGCAATGGCCACAGATGGGAGTGAATTACCACTGGCCCAGGCACCGTGACGGCAGAAGGCCCATCTGCATGGAGTTTGGACAGATGAAATATAATCAAGGTGCCGCAGGAAGCCACATGCCAGGGGCCAGCGTGTCATACAGTCCGCTGATGTGTCTTGCTTATCGATACAGGAGGCATTTCTAACAAAACAGCCAGAGTCTTTGAAGTAGGCGCTTGTTCCTTTTACAGAAAGGAGGCCAGAGCTAATATATGGGTGGCAGAGGAAGGAATTTCTTTTTAGAAATTCCGGGGATTTGTTGGGATGCCTGAGGAAGCTGCATTTTATTCTTATCCTGAGCTAGGAATTGCTTACACACCTGGCACCTCTGGACTTTGAGGTGCGCTTTTCTTCTTGAGTGATCATTTGTTTTACATCTGTTGTCCAAGATTCTTCAGGAGAACTGGACCCCTGAATAACATCCTCTCTGCAGAGGCCTTACAGCTGCCCCCGCACCCATGACTCAGTAGGTCTCTCTTCTGAGGACGGCTGTCTCAAGACATTGGCTGGCTCACTTCCCTATCATACTGTTGATTGGTTGTCTTCACGTCCACCCTTGTTCTTTATGGCCTAAGTATTTAACAAGATCCCTTCCTGTCGATTCCTTACCCTAATCACTCTAAATTTATAGCCACCCAAACTCATTCTTGTCCCATCAGATGCCCATTTTGTTGAAGGAGAAGTCCTTCTTGGCACCCAGATGGTTGAAAGGTGACACTAATCCTCAAGTCGAAAGTTCATCTTCTGACACTCCCCCGAGGATGCCCTGTGTTCACATTGCATGTCCTGTCCCCCCCTGAGCATGCCCTGTCCTGCCCGGGCACGGGAATCCTTTCATGGCTTCCTGTGTTCTTTGGAGCCTCTCCTCCCTCCCAGAGGCAGCTTAGGGATGGTTGTTCTGTGCCACGTGCCACCTGCACTCCTGATTGTTCTGAGACCCAGCCCAGAGGAGTGGGGAAGGCGCACAAACCCTATTTCAATAAACTGCCTGCAGAGCACTGCAGCCTGCTAATAGTCATGGAGGCCTCAGCCCCCTAAGGTCTCCAAGCTCATTTGACCAGCGCAGCTGCGACTTCGGCTGTCTGCCTCTGGCAGGTGCCAATATCAGCATCTTGTCCCACTGCCATGGGGAGTTTATTTTTGCTCAAAGGCAGCTGCCAAGCGCAGCACCAGCATCAATAGACGGTTTCTCTGATTTTCTTGTCTTCATCCCAGGCCAGGCTCTCTTAGCAATCCCCATTTTTGTTCTGTAGAGAGTGCCAGGAGACCCATCAGATTGTCAGCCACTTCCTCCAACCCAACATGTCTTCCGGCTCACCAGTCTTCCCCAGCAGAAAGCGTGAGCCATGGTAGGTATTTAAAAATGTCAGTTGGGACCTTGAAGGGCTTCATTCTGTCACATGGTGGCAAGAACGGGTCCATTTGTGTAGCTGTGCTGGCAGTGAGCTGCACTGACACTGAAATTGACACTGTGAGGTACTGAATTTGGACAAAAGGTCTTAGAAAACACTGGGATCACCGCCACTTTACATCTGTCCATTGTGTTCCTTGCCGAGAGATGAAAAGCTAGCACTTATCCCTGGAGGGATGTGACCAGCTAGTCCCATAGCTCTCGGCATCTGCCAGACCAGTGAGTCTGTGGAAATTGGAATCTGCCTCAAGCCCAAGTCACTGACAAGAAAGCTGGACCGCCACTATGTGCCCGATGTCACATAGATATAGACGAGACAGTGGTAAGAATTCGACAGTCCAGTGGATGCTGGGTCAAGAAACCCAGGGCTGTTAGGAGTCAGTAGTACAGGTCGGCCACCAGGAGCCAGGCTAGGGTGACTGGCAGGGATG